ATTGGACATGTGTTCATTTATGTTTTCAAGGTTATGTTTAATTTCCTTGTGGTTTGAGATTATTGTTGTTTAGATTAGTTGCAATATAGCATAGATCTCCTTCTGGAAAGTATTTGTTTTTTCTTGGTATATTCTTTCTGCAGATCTCTGGTTTTCCATGATAGCCAAAAATCAGGTTTTTCCTTTCTCTGCAGACAGCTTTAGAGTCACAGTTGAGTTAGTATTTGTAATCCAGAAAGGTCAGTTCTTCTTCTTTTTTTTTAGAGTTTATCATTCTCACTTTGTAGAAAGCCCAAGGTGTTTTATTTTTTCTTTTTCTTTTGTCACTGCTGTTTTCTGTTATTAAGACATTGAAGGCCATCAAAATCAAATTTATCTTTTCCTGGGCCTTGTCAGTCCCTTGGGTTTTTTCTTTTTCTTTTTTCCCCAGGAAATCAATTTCCAAGTAGAAGAGAGAAAATCACTGTTCTTACCCAGTTCCAAATACATTGTTTATAGTCAGCTCCAAGTAGTACTTTTGGACTTCGGTTGCTTGTAACTTGGGCTAGACTCGGAAGTTAAGCTAGCCTCTTCTCCTGTCGGTTTCTGGAGGGCTTTTCCCAAACCAATCGGATCGACCGCCATTTCTCCACAATCGGCGGGACTTCCCCCCCTTCTATGTTGCCTCTATGGGGCAACTTCAGGCCCATTTAGAGTCCCCTGGCAGGCGGAAATCAGCCATAGGGTGCGGAGCCCCACAATCCCTCGGCTGCTGTGCTACTGTGCAAAACTGGAATCTAAGTCAGTATTGACTCTTGGTCACTGCTTGGACAAGTCCCTGCATCTTTCTTGGCAAGATTTCCTAAGTGGTTGCCATTGCCTCCTTCTTGGGACTAAGAGAAGGGAACTGGCTCAACATCACCGAGCTGGTTTTATGCCCAAGGCAGGATTAGAATTCACAGTCTCCCAGTCTCCAGTCTGGTGCATTAACCATTACACCAAACTTCAGTCATACTTCTCTTTAACCAAGCATAACTTGGCATTCTTGGTTGGATTGTGATCTTGGAATGGGATTAGATAGGACAGAAGTTTCTTCAGTCTTTACTTTTCTGTTGGCTTTGTGCAAGTCCTCTAGGTGGGTGAATGTTGTGAAATTTGTTGGGCTGATGCTATGTAGCCTATTTCAGTTAAGCTCTGCCTGTCACTCTGTTTTCAGATTGCAACATTTTGATTTAAAACTGTCTGTCAGATGCCAAGCACTTCAGGAGAAAGCTCTTTTGAACCAAGATGGATTATGCTGCTTATATTATGTCCTGAAAATAAATAAGTCACAGGAATACTGTAACTAATTTTCTGGAGTGGGCATTATATAGTTATCTACAATTATCATCTGCTCCTGAGAATTACTATTATTAGGAATTGTTAATGGAGCAGATGAAATCTTAACAGCAATTTTATTCAAAATATGCAATAGAAAATTTATCAACAGTTTAATAAGCAGACCAAAAAGTGTTGGTAATAGTTCTGGTCCATTATGGAAAAATGCAAAATAAAACAGAAAAATAGTCTATGCTTTCATTTTCTGGGGCATAAATTCTAGAAAATATTGAGGATCTTTTAAAAAATGCTAATGACTACATGAGAGATGCTCAAGCTCACAAACTTCCCTTTTTCCCTTCTTAGCTAATCAACCAACATGGAAAGGTTTATGCTCAGTCATGGCACTGAGGTGATTTCTTTGATTGTTGCAATAAACAGACAGCATGTTTTGTGCTCCCATGCATGCATTTTGGATCATATTGGTTCTTCATAATGGTACCAATCCCTGGAACCAGAAAGGATGCTTTTGACAAATTCATGTGACTGAGACCATAGATCTCACTAGACTGATCATCACTAGCAATGATAATAATTTACATCGATGATCTGAAGCTGCATGGAAAAACACCATCTGAAATAGTCATTGCTCAATACTGTCCAAATATACAGCCACAATATTGCAATGGAGTTTGGAATGGACAAATGTGTCACCATCAAATGGGGAAAAATAGTGAAAACTCAAGGAATCAAGGTACCCTATGGAAATAATATTAAAGGTCTGGAGATGATCACTACATACTGTATATCTGAGCCTCCTTCATGATGACAACATCAAGCACACTGAAGTCATGAATCATACCCTTCATCCATACAGTGATGTAGAAAATAGATGGGTGTGGAATATTGCATGTACACCAGACAGTTGGGAAAGAAAAAAAGCATTGGAAAAATATCTCAAAGACAGGGAAGAAGATGCACTAAAGCTGTGCCATGAAGGCTTACTGAGTTCTGGAGGATCCAAACTGGCCTATAAAAAAGACCAAATGAAGAATAGAAAAGAAACATGATAAGGCAAAGCATTACATGGCCAGTACATTAAAAAATAGCAGACAAAGCAGATAGCAAGGCAATGGCTAAGAGCAGGAAAATTGAAGAAAGAGACTGAGGGGCTAATTCTGGCTGCACAAGACCAAGCCTTAAGAAGAAATGTATACAAAGTCAGAATTGAGAAGACAACAAATGCTGTTTCTGCAAAGAAGCTCAAGAAACAGTAGACTATCTGGTTAGCTACCACAATAAGAACATACCACAAGAAGAACATATAAACTGACTACAAGCAACAGCAGTACAAAGTAGCAACAATGGTGCATTGAAAGATCTGCAAGAAATACCATTTGCCTGCAAGCAAGAACTGGTGGGACTACAAAATAGACACAGTAATAGAAAATGAAGAAGCTAAAAATGCTCTAGGACAGGGCTTTTCAACCAGTGGTACAGGTACCACCTGTGGTATATTGGCATCTGGCAGGTAGTACGCGACCATCCTAGAAAAGTGGTAGCATGGGAGAGGAATCAGCTGAACCTGTGGCAGCACCGCACAAACCTGAGTGAGAGATGGCTGGAGCTGCAGGGCTGTCAGGGCTCAGCGGAAGCGCCAGGATCAGTGCCACTTTCCAGCTAATTGGTGCTTCTTCGGGGCTGTCAGGGCTCAGTGGAAGCACCAGGATCAGTGCCAGGGTCCAGCTGGAGCTCGGTGCTGATCCTGGTGCTTCTGCTGAGCCCTGAAGAATCAGCTGGAATGTCGCAGCATTCAGATGCTTGGCAACTGATTCATATTTATGATGGTCACAGTGTCCCATGTGAAGTGACCAAAACCTGCTGCAGCCACTCAGCAAATGGGGGGAATAAAAACCAAACACCCCCCACCCCCACTGCCAATCCTCAACAGAAATGCTCACAACAATGAAAACCTTGGACAAAAGGAAGAGCACCGCCAGGCGGGCAGGCAGGCAGGCAGGTGTCTTGCTCGGCTGTGGCTTGGGGGGGCACTTTTGTCAGTGCCATTGTAACTTCGAACAGTCACTAAGCGAATTGTTGTAAGTCGAGGACTACCTGTACTTTATCACTTTTTTCCTGTTTTTTGGGGTCAAGTTTTTGACACCTTGCTGGTGGTACTCGGATGTTGCCATATCCTAAAAGTGGTACAATGGGTGAAAAGATTGAAAAGCCCTGCTCTAGGACTTTAGAATTCAAACAGAAAAGCACCTGTCACCTAACATCCCAGACTTAACAATTGTCAAGAAAGACCAAAAAAATCTGGATAGTGGCATTGCAGTACCCGGAGATAACAGAAGAGAAAGAACTGGAGAAAATTACAAAATATGAAGACTTGCAAATAGAAGTCCAATGATTATTGCAAAAGAAAGCAAAGATGCTACCAATGATAATAGGTGTCTTGAGTGCAATCCCAAAACATTACACAATCACCATCAGTCATGTGCAAAAGACAGCTTTACTTGCAACAGCTTGTTGTTGCTCAGTCGCTAAGCTGTCTGACTCTTCACAGCCCCATGGACCATAGCATGCCAAACACGTGTCTTCCACTGTCTTCATTTCATACACAAGGGTGGCTGAGCTTTGAGAGTTGAACTATCACCCAGTTTGCTCTAATTCATTTCATTGAGTTGATGACACCATCTAACCATCTCACCCTCTGCCATCTCCTTCTTTTTACCTTCAGTCTTTCCCAACATCAGGGTCTTTTCCAGTGAGTCCTCTCTTCCTCATTTAGGTGGCTACAGTATTTGACCTTTACCTCCAGTTTCTGCCCTTCCAAAGAACAATCAGGGTTGATTTCCTTTAGGCTTGACTGATTTGATTTCCTTGCAGTCCAAGGGACTCTCAAGAGTCTTCTCCAACACCACAAGTCAAAATTTGGCACTCAGCCTTTCTTCTGGTCCAGCTCTAATAGCCATCCCTTACTAATGGGAAAACTATAGCTTTGATTATAGATGATACCTTTAACACTGTCAAATAAGAACATCTGTCTATCTGAGGTCCTTGGGAAGGACTTGATAGGCGGATATAAATGACAACTTTAGGCTTAGCATCTGGCTGACTGTGCGATGATAGTATTATTATTAGTAGTAGTAATAGTAATAATAACAACAACAATAATAATCCCAGCCATCCTTGTATATGAATTAGCCACTGCTCCACCTCCCATAATTGTTTCCTTCTATATCCACATATTATCAGCGGGGACATTCCCGTTTAAATAGTATATTCCCCCCCCCCCCGTTCCTTAAACAGGCGCTGCTTCCCTCCCAGCTGGGGAGCCTCCCATTCAATCTGTGCTATTCCAAAGTGGGCGAGGGTGGGACGCCTCAGCCAAGCGCGCCTGAGCCGCCTCCGCAAGCAGCGGCAGTGGCCGCGTCTTGCGGAGGAAGGCGCCGAGCCCAAGGCTGCCTTATTCTACCTCGGCTATCCGGCCATTGGGCGCCTTCCCCCCCCCCGCTTCCCCCATCACGCAACACCAGAGTAGCGCCAGTATTGAGCCCAGGGACTGTCACTTAGCAGCCGCCGGGCTCCGCCTCGGTCAGGGGAGGGGCGATCGATCGGTCCCGCCTCTTCTCGATCGCTTGGGGCCGGAGCTGCCTCGGGATTGGTCAAGGAAGCCGTCACTTGCCTGGGCGAGTTTTGCTGCCCTCTTCTTGTCACGCCGCCGCCGCCGCCGCCGCTGCCACTCGGGGTTGGGGCGTTTTTTCACGTTGCCGCTGCCCTTCTCCGGCTGCTGCTGCTGCCGCTGCTCTTGATGTTCTGAGGCAGAAGGGAGGGGAGCGGTGGCGGCCGCTGGACCTTCTCCTTTTTCCTCTCTCGCTCTTCTATCATCTTGGCTTGGCCCCAGGCTTGGGGAGGGGGGAGCGCCTTCTCCGCCATGGCCACCAGCACCACAGGCTCCACGCTGCTGCAGCCGCTCAGCAACGCCATTCGGCTACCCATAGACCAGGTGAGGAGCCCCGGCGCGCGCAGGGAAGCAGCCCCTCTTAAAAAAAGGGGGGGGGGCGAGCCGGCCCGAAGGATGGAGCTCCCTCCCTCGGCCCCACCGCCTCGACCCATCCCCCTCGCGATCTCCAAGCCTTTCCTGCCTTCCGCTCCCCCGCTGTCTCACAGTTGCACCCCACGTTGCATCCATCCCGAAGTAGCAGCCTTGCTAAATTCATCGACGGGTATAGGTGTTGGTTGCAAAGCTCTTCCTTTTCTGGGCCGAACTGCACGGAGGTCTGGTGTGGTGTATGGATGAGGAGGTCGTGATTTATGGGCGCATTCGTCCTTTTGTATGTGGAGTCATGTTCCCTTGCTTGCTTGCCTGCCATTCAACCCTTTCCCCCGTGATTAAATAGATGTCATGGGTAACCTGACTTGTTTGCTCAGATACGTAGAAAGTGTGGAAGTTAAAATGCCGACTTCAGTCTTTGAAGACAGGTAATTAAAACAGATTTTAAAACTGGATGCTTGGAACCCAAAGTCTTCACTTTGTATTTTTAGTAGTGAGACATTCAGGCTCCTTTAAAACCTGTCCTGTTGATCCTCTTGAGGGTTAGGATTTCATAGGTATCAGTTTGGCCTTAAGTAATTGTAGCACTTTTCATTGCCTGGCTGTGTGAGAAAGATTGGGATGCTAGATACTTGCAGAGCTTTCAACAATTTGCGGTTAATAAATGGACAATGTTGTATGAATAGTACATACTTATTGTGTATCTTTAAATAACTGCAATGTATTCTGATGTTCACAGAGAATAGGAAAAGATGCAAATGCTAGGTGGCTGTAAAGTTCATAAATGTTACAAGTTAGCTATCTCCCAGAAACAGGCACACAAATCAAATTTCTACCTCCTCCGGATAGTTAAAATTCACAGCAAAATTCGTATGCATTTTAATTACATTTATGTCCTACTGAAAGTGGTACATTTTGTCACACAGTGAGAAACGATAGCTGTGAAAATCTTACAGTTTTAAACTTCTTTAGGTTTTCCATTGTATTAAAAAATGTTTACAGGGAGCTAATATGGATGTGATCTTACTAAGGAAAAGTAAATAGAAAATTATCTTTCTTTTCACCCCAAACTGTTTCTGATAACAAGTATTTATCAATATAAAGAACATTTTAAAGAAAGCCACTGACATTAAAGAACAAGAAAAGGAACATGTAGTGAAATAACTCAATTTGTGGCAATATTTTCTGAGTAGTATTTATATGATTAAAACAAAATTCCTATAATGTGATTTGAATAAAGTGGGACTGAATCACTTTTACATTCAGCTGCCATTTTATTTACAGGTAAATAGCTAGATCACTGGCTTCTTACAAAAAAAAATATTTTTGAAAGAATGAAATCTCCAGTATATGACTTGGAAAAAAATCACATTGTGTATACATAAGGGAATGTTTCTGATAGTAGCAAATATCTCTAGCTGGGGTGTAGGAAAAGGGTGGAGATTCATTCTCTGAACTTGTGGGTTGGTTTCCCACAAGGGAATGTTGCTGAGGGATGCTATGAAATATTAGGATGTTTAAATTCCATTATTTCATTGGAAAGTAGTTTTACAGAGATCAGGGGAGCCACAAACTCCTTAGCTTGGATGAATGTAATGCATTGTATGTTTTTTTTATATTGAAAAAGTTTGAGCAACTTTTTTCCTGCACGCTTAACTTGAGTTTGGTTGCTTCTGCATAGTTTAGATTTTCTCCACACTACTAATGGAGCTGGTATTCAGACAGTTGGCTATGTCTTGTGAAAAACATTTCATACTTTACAGGAACATTCAGTGTAATTGTATTAGCATTTTATCCCTGATATCAGTATGGATGTTACTAATATTTGTCTGCTGAGCGTTCAGGAGTATATATTATTCATATACCTATGTTATTGCTATTTCTTATAACAAAACAGTTGTGGAAAATAAAATTCTCTGTAGTAAGGACTGAGCTTGTAATTTGTTGCAGAAATACCACCGTTCGTTTACAGTAGGACCAACAGATCTGGTTTGCAAACATTTGGATGACCACTAGATGGCAGGTGGGAGTTAGAATTTTTATATCTCTTTGCTACCATCTAGGGCTCCTCATCTAGATTTTTGCTGCCTAGATCAGGGGTCCCCAACCTATGGTCTGCGGCCTGGTACTGGACTGTGGCCTCTTGGCCACCAGGCTGTGGGAATAGCTGGCGAGCTTCCCCATTTGTAGTGCCACTGTGGGGGCGCTAGCAGCCCCATTTGTGCATGCATGGCGCTAGCACCACCACCAGCATCACGTGGGCATTAGCGGCCTGCTTGTGCGTGCATGCAGGCGCCAGCATGCTGCTACAGGTGCGCGCAACTTATTTGGGCAGGCTCACACTAGCGCCGCTGCCGTTTGTGCACCCATTTGTGCATGCATTTGCGGGCCGTGTGCATGCACATTTCCCTGCTCCTCCCTTTCCTTCCGGGCTGCCAAGCTGGAAAGGTTGGAGAGCTCTGGCCTAGATCAAGTAACCCTACTTATGCAGTATTTTCTGTCAACATCGACAGAATTACATTTTGTGATAAATATATTAAAATACTTTCTAAAATTTTCTTATGGTGGACCAATGTATGATAATTCTTCATCTCCAGTGACTGTTGAAATATAAATAACAGTTATGATACTGAGTACAATATTTAAACTGTCCAAAATAGACAACTTTATTTACTGTCCAAGAATTTGTTTAAAACTTTCATTAGAGAAGTCTCAGCAAGTCTTGAGTTGAACCTACATTTGTGACGCTTCTCTGCACATAACATACCTGATGTGCACTTCCACATGTCACTATAAATCAGTGGTTCTCAACCTTTCTAGTGCCGCGACCCCATAATACAGTTCCCCATGTTGTGGTGACCCCCAACCACTTATACATCACTGGGTGCCAGGGGCATGGCCAAAGAAAAGGGGGAAAAAATGGCGGACAGCCTTGTTTGGCGACCCCCGTGAAATGGTCGTTCGACCCCAAATGGGGTCCCGACCCACAGGTTGAGAACCACTGCTATAAATAGAATTTTCTTAGGGCTATTTTTCAAATGTTATTTATTTATTTATATCATCTATGTACCCCATTTGGACATTTTCATGTACTGAATCCTTTAATTCCGATACATTATTTTATCGGCATCCTTGGCTATCTTTGGGGCCAATTTTAATAGGCAATTGGGCAATAGCATCCCTTCTTCCTGATTTTGCATACATATGATTTGTTATTTCTTCATGTCCTAAACTTGTTACCTTGAATTCCTGCTTCCTTTATATCTTTATTTCTCCATTGTTTTAAGCAGCAGCAGCAACAACAAGGTAAAGATTTAAAGGACAAATAATTTTATTTTAACTTAAGCTGTCTCTTCCATTAACTGATTTTGGGGAATAGTTAATCATGCTCAAACCAATTATGAACAGCTAATAAAGATTTATATTGCCATGATTAAGATGGCAGTGAGTCTATAGTTAGTAATAACTGAGGGGATATGGCATGGACTGAATTTTGTTCATTTTGAAGCTGCAAAGAGTGAATCAAAATCAAAGAGTAGATGGAATGACTTGCAGTGCTATATAGAGGGCAGTCCAGAAAGAACTTAATAATTTTTGGAGTGGCATGGAGAAGAATGAGTAGTGATGTCTTACTTTTACAGTATCTTTGATATAAAGCCCAGTGATTTCTTTCTCATTTGCTAAAAAAAGTCCTCCAGTTCACTTGAAGTATACTTCTCCTTTTTGCAATTTGTTTGATATCTAAAATTGCAATGAAGGGCTTGTCTCTGACTTTAAAATAGAAGCTGAACATCTGATTTGATTCTTTTTTTTCTGGTTTGAAGGATATATGCTAAGCATACTTTGTCATTTTGGGCTACAAAATAAGCTATGCTCTGCTTAGCATTAATATGCTAACTTAATATTATATAGTACTGTCTCAGTATTATAATTCAAGTTCTTTGTTAGGCTAACAATTATCTTACAAGTTAAATCAAATTTTGCTCAGGGTATATAGAATTGTCACTACTTTGATCACCACTGTAGATGGTCTACATTGGAAACCTGAAGAAGGTGCAGTTTTATTACCTTTGGATTTACTGGCAGATTTTAATCTTGATGGCCACAGCTTCTTTCTGGTCAACCTGCAGAATTAAGTTTTGGAACATTATATTTTGAGTGCACAAGCTTTTTCTACTGGACTGTGGTTAGAAAGAGAGATTGTCTGTTTGGCATCGTGGTTTGTTTGCCTTATGGGCTATTTTATCTTCTGTATTTTGTATCCCCAAACCTTTTGACATATTTAATATTTTGAGAGTATGTTGTGGGTACACTAAGAAAAAGTTGCTGTAGTATGTTTGCCCATTTGCAAAATCGTTATAAACCTGTGCAGGTTTTTAAGATTTACAGGAGAAGCAGGCATGTGGGAAAAAAGGATGTTAACTTAAATTGCTTACACATAATGGGACTGTTTGGAGTTCTGGTTAATTGCTTACTCTTATTACTTTCTGAAAAAGTGCCAAGTTGCATCTTTTTAATGTATCCTCTAAATGGTAATTGGTTTAATGTTTTTAATATATTTCATTGCTGTACTATGTGGCTATTTGAATTGATTACATTATTTTAACAGTACTCAGAAAAGTGATATAGAATTATTTTCATTGTATAAAATAAATCTGCAAGAAAGGTGGGAAACTAAGAAAGTATCTTATCTTAACTGAGCAAGAAATTCTGAAACTGCAGTTACCACATGAGAAAGATAAGCACAGAATCATGTGAGTGATTAACTTTTTTAAAGATAAAGTATACTTTGGAGTACTATCTTAATTAAGTTCTATTTCTATTGTAATCTGGCTATAGCCATGGAGAAAGCTTAACTCTTCATTAAGAATATGCTTATTAGTGATTTTCCTTATGAAACTGTAGACAACAGAAATAGGCAGCAATAATACAGTGTTTTCTCCATTCTTGCT